ATAAACACAGAGATCAGGAATACACAGCAATATTTTATTATTGAGCCCTGTTTATAACTATTTTACACTAGTCAGAAGCATTGAGATGGTTAAGTTTAAGATGTGTGGACATGGACAGATGCTGGCTGGGGAATTCTGGGAGTTGAAGTCCACACTTCTTAAAGTTGCCAGGTTTGAAAAACACTGGCCTAGATGGATCTTGGAAAGCAAATACATGCATGTATTGACAGTAAAACCTTGATTTGAGAGTCTTGGGATGCAACAGACAAAATTTGAGAGTGGACATCCTCCAAAATAACAAAGTCAGTTAAAACAAGGTTTTATGTTTCTGGGAAGGTGCTGGGGAGGTCAGGGGTGGTTTGGTAGGCTGATGGGAAGACTGGAGGCAGCACTGGGAAGATTGCTGGGAAGGTACTGGGGGAAGTGGGATATGGTGTGGTGTGATGCTAGCGTGGTGGAAAGATTGGGGAATCTGTGAAGAAGGGAAGGGGCAGGTTGTGCTTTCTGCAGCCCTCAGGCTTGCAGTGGATTGGGGCCCTCTGCTACTGCAGGCAGCTGCAAGATAGTGCTGCTCCAGGACGACTATAGCAAGCTGGCTGGCTGCTACAGTGCAAGTTCCCCAAGCTTGAACAACTAGGTGGCCTGTTGCAGTTTTACATATTAGGAAAAAATGGCAGACAGGCTTTTTACACATATGCAAAGGTATCTTTTGGATTTAACAGCATTTGGGTTTAATGGACACCGTCTTTCCCCGAATGGTCCATTAAATAGAAGTTTTGCTGCTGTTGTTGTACTTGAGTCGTTAAGTCGTGTCCGACTCTTCGTGACCCCATGAATCATATTGCGCCAGGCCTTCCTGTCCTTCACTGCCTCCCTGAGTTTGCTGAGTTTTGCTGTATTTGAGTAAAATAGCTGATAATTCTTCTGCAGAATCTCTTTCTTTGTAGGATAATACCCGACCCCATAAAAGGTTGCAAGAAAAGCATTAGCTAACTAGTGGTATAGTTTCTTATATAGCTGTGCAATCTAAACTGAAATTGTATACCAGAAATAACATCACTATGAGGATTTGGGTGCCATGCTTTTTATTTAGATGGAAGAGAAGAACTACATTGTACTAGGTAAGCAGCTATACGACAGTATTTTACAGCACAGCATCTGGAAAGGAAAGTAGAGTAGCAGTGCTCCACAAAAGTGGACAAGGAAGCATACAATCACTGTACAGTTCTCAACGGACGGTGCCCATTAAATTATAAATAAACAGAAATTGGCTTTAAACAGCCAAAGAATTAAAAACATACACCAACAGTCATCTTCCCTACCCCCATATAGTTTCAGTAGCCATCATGACTGTCAGACTTTAAATACCTGACCTGAAAATTAGGATGTTTGGCAATTCTGTCATATATACAATAAAAACAATACCTTTCTTATAAAGAACCAGTGTGCTTGGTATTATCACTGGTAAACACTGGGCTTCTTCACAGAAAGCTTTCCTTTTCCCAAACGGGATATCAAATTAAGGGAAACTGTTAGTAGAAAATTTGCAAGCTTAAAAACTAAAAAAAAACCCAACCAAACTGTTATTACTTTCCTAGCATATAGTAAAATTTTAATATCAGGGGTCTTTTATTTGTAATATTCACATTCTACCTTTAGACATTGCACAGAATCTTTCTAAAATGTAGACAAAATTCATAATACATTCAATAATTTAAAATAACCCTCTCTGCTGTTACATTTTAGAAATCATCCTGTTTAAATAGGTGTGCAAGAAACAATGTAGTGTATATTTTAAATAACATTTATTTCTTTAGCAAGAATACTTTAGATTAAAAGATCTTGCACATGATTTCCTCTTTTACCAACCTCAATTATGTCCTAACTTTTCTCTCCCAACCACAGATGTACTTGAACTATCTTTAAATTAGGTGTACATTTATTTGGGTTCGCAATAACATTTCCCTCTGCAATTAGTTGGAGGAGAAGCTTAAAGGGTAGAATGCATAGAACAATTTCCTATTTTACACACACACACACACACACACAAATACACACACACGTGTGTGTCTGTGTGTGCGCAGTATATATATATGTGTGTATATTACACAATATGTTTACATTTGGATAAAAGATGGGTTAGATATCCCAGTCCTTACATGCAAATAGTAAGAATGAACTAACCACAAATAGATTTAGGGTTTTTTTTTATAGTTTTAACAAATATACATAAATATAACAACATAAATTACAGTAAAATATCAATTGCATCTTTGAAAAAAATTGATAAACAACCCAGAAACATTGATGCTTAGGGCTGTTTAATAATTTAAAAAAAGGGTTTTCTAAATTTAGGATTTTTTATTCCTGTACATCATCTATACAAAGAACAAAAGCAAATTGTAGTGAAATATTAGTCTGAATCAAGCATTTCAATGGCAGAAGTGTACAGAACGTTTACATTTTCCTTTGCAGGACATATTATAAAGTTCAAGCATAAGATAGATAGTTCAATACTGCCTTTAAGTTTCAACACTTTTTACAATACTGAAACGGAACCAGAGCAGTAATTCAAGTCTTTTCCTGAGAATGTGGTTCCACCTAGCTCCCCTCCCACCCCACAACTAAGTTGTCTGGTATATGAATGTGAAAAAGCCATAAGAAAAATAAGGGTAGATTTCAAGTTCACATGTTGCCACCTGTCAGTTAATCAAGCCTCCAAACAGGAATTACTTTTCTAAAGTAATCAGATATGCAGCCCTTCATAAATACTGAAAAGATGTCCTAGTGATAATTTTATATTAAATTGTAGATTGCCCAAGTTGCTTTCAGCTAGACTTAAGATGTCATAAATCTAACCAATACAGTTATTTACTCAGATAAAATTAACTCAGTATATTCTGCATCTTGAAAGAAAATTAACTTTGGTCCATATATTGGGCAACATCTTGGTGGTATACTAGATTTATCTTCTTTTTCTTTCTACTTCCTGCAAAGGACCCACATGAAATGTATTATTTTAACACACCTAATACTGGATTTTAAATGGTAGCAATAGTCCCAACCTATGGTTCCAACATATGTAAGTTGGCTTCTATGCAGTTAATATTGTTTTATTTATGTGGTTTTTTTTCCCCTTATAGCAGGGAAAATCTGTGCAAAATTACAGGATGCAATTTAAGCAGAAGCTTGGGCAGAAATGAAGAATGGTTGCCTGTTTAGAAGAAAATAAGGAGGGAAAAAAGCCTACCAGTGCATACGTTTTCATTTCATGCTACCCTGGACCAGGGCCGTGATGGATTGTTAAATATAAGGATGATGTCTTTACAACAATAGTAGACACATTTCCTTATTAGAGTTTAAGACATGCTAGCAACATTTAATCCTACACATGTCTTACAAGAAGCTTTTCTCCTGTATGATGTCCTTTAAAAAGAATCAGAGCTAAAAAGGAGTTAAGCTAAGCTTAATTTTGTTGAGCATCAGGCTTGGGCCCTTTGTTATCTGCAGGACGTTAACAAAATAATAATAATTATAATTACAATAATAGTGGTGTGGCAAATAAGACATTACTCCAGTAAAGTTATAAAGAACAGAAGCAAATTCTAAAACAAGCCTAACAGTATAAGGCAATAAATGTAAAACTTTTAAAACTTCAGTCATTGTAAGTGTGCAAACATTCAGAGCTGCAGAACTGAGGAAAGGAACACACATATCATGAGTAACATGAACTAAAGTCCCCAGGTGTGAATCCATTGTTCATGATGCACAATACCTAAGTGTCAGTTTTCTGCAAGTCTTCAACACTGTGTTTACATTCCAGTTGGCAATGACAACAGAGCTTGTTCTTCAAAGAAGCCTTGTTACCAAATTGGAGTCTATTTCGTAATAGACAGCAAATCCGAAGTGCACGTTTGCCACAGTTGCCTCAAGCAAGGTATATCTTCCCACAGGTAGCTATGTCTTTGAAGATAAGAGCTTTTTTGGAGTTACTGGTCTCTTGCTCTGCCATAAATGGCTGTGAATGGTAATGGCATCAACACTTGCAGAGAGCGTTTTCGCAGGTATGTGGCTGAACTGCTTCCTGTCAGAGTTGTACTTATAGAGCCCCTCGATCATTCTCTTAGTGATTGATCTGGGGCCTATCCCAGTCAGCTTATTGATCTCTTCAGTTTCAGGGCAGTGTGTATATAGAGATCGGAATTGGCAGCCTGAGTCCCGGAAGAGGATTAGGAAGTTGTTAGCATCTGATTTCTCCATTTCCTTCAGGGAATAAAGGAGGAAAGAAAGTTCTTATTGTGGCAAAGTTAAAAACGCACTTGAACGCTTTTAAATAAAAGTATTTTTTCTTGAACTCTTAGAAAAGGATTCTGTTTTCAAGATGTGAATTCAAACATTCATTATTGTTACATGATGTTTGAGGTACCAAATGCATAAAAGAACTACAGGTAGTCCTTGATTTTTTTATTTAGTGACTGTTTGAAGTTTTTTATTTTATTTATTTATTTATACATAGACTTATCCCTGCCCATCTCCCCACAAACGGGGAGTCTGGGAGGGTTTAATTGAGTTTAAAAAATAAATTAATGATTAAAATTTATAAGTTACGATGGTGTTGAACAAAGGGACTTACAACCAGTCCTCACACTGACCACCACTGTAGCACCCCCATGGTCACATGATCTGGGTACTTGGCAACCAGCTTGCACTTAGGATAGGGTCACGTGACCACCATTTGCGACCTTC